GGGGGGGGAATGTGTAGCCTGCATAATTAACTTATAAACCGCCCAGAGAGTGCTTGAAGCACTATGGGGCGGCATATAAGCAGCACACTTTGCTTTTTTTGCTTTATTTTGAGAGTTGCAGTGACAACAGGCAGAAGAGTTTGTTTTGTACCACATGTCAGCGGCTTGTACTCATTTCAGTTTGTTTCTATGCCAAGAGTTGCCATTGAAATAGCACTGGAAAGCCTGTTACATGTCTTTGAACTGACAGTGGCTTTTGATACTATAGTGTCTTATCAAGCTACTTATGTAGGTTGTATGCTTTGGCAATTCAGTGGTTCCACTCATAAAATTAAGGCCTGTTTCATACAGCAACACTGGAGAGGGGGGTTCTGTTTGACTGCACAGCAAGACTATAAAGGACTATGTTCTAACTTAGCCTCATGGTCTTTTAATTTCTGTATGAAGTTTCTGGATAAGGTCATCCAGAGGTATGGAAGAAGTATTAGGAGCATTATCATTTTAAAGGTGAAGATATAAGGGAAGCTCATTTCATGATTCAATGATGGGCTGCCTGAAGGCCAGAAAACTCACCTTGAATCTTGACAAGATGGAGCCATTGTAAATGGTTCCTGAGTCTAGGGTGCTCAACCTGTTGATGCAAATAACATTGTGCCATCTTAAAGACTAACAGGTTTTTAATTTGGCATAGAGGTTTGTGGAATATTTGCCATTTCTTTAGATACATAGAGGGTAGCCTCAATGGATGCACATGTAGTAGAAGCATGGGGACAAAAGGAGTATGGCATGCAATTGAAATCTAAAGGGTCCAGTATGCTGATGGTCCATCAGTGGTTGCTAGTGGTTGTTCAGTTCTTGGGGTATGACAGATAGGGGAACGTGGTATGTGGTTGCAAGAGCTGTTCAGAGGTTATTGGTGGGTGAAAAATACACCAAGAAGTAGATAAGAAGATTAACACGAGGTGAAGAAATGGCTTTGGTTAAGGCCAGTATGAGGGATGTGTATCGCCGCCACCCCAATCCACATTTGAATTCAGAGGGGTCAGAGTGAACAAGAGTACAAAAACTGCAAGCAGAGACAATTGTTCAGGCTGTTGTCATAAAACATACAACTGGGCTACAACACAGACAAACGTGCCTGAATGAGCTGATTAGCATAAGTAATGAGATAAAATTCTCTGTCTGCATTCAAGCCAAAGCAGACTGAGTTTGATCTATTGATGTACAGTATTCTTGTTCTGAATGTGGTTCCTCTCCCCCTGAAGGACTAGCTGTTCAATTTACGGGCACTCCATAGTCCAGCACTGTCATTAGAGATGCAGGTAGCTTTGATAGCTAGCTTACCTTTCACTAGCTTCAGCTTGTCTGCCAGGTTCTTTTCCTGGATAGATGTAGTATGGCTAAAGTGACCCATGCTGTTAACCTTATAAGCTAAATAACTATAACATGTGATGGGTCACCCTTGAAGTCAGTTCAGAACTGTCACTATAGCAGAAATTCTGACTGTTCTGTTGCTTCTGAATCCAATTCAAGATGTTGCTACTTACCTTGAAGACGCCACTGCTTGGAACCCCAATATCTTTAGGAGTGTCTCCTACCATACCAACTTCCCCCTGGGTTAAAATCCTCAGATGAACCCCTTCTCTAAGCCAGTACACAATCTGAGTTGGGGATATTTTCTGTGATGGCAAGCTAAATTTGGAATGCCCTCTTCCCAAGGAAGGTACAACTGATGCTGACATTACATTATTGTTTTTGCCAGGACAACCTGTTTATTTATCCAGGCCTTTTAAACTAACCATGGTGTTAATTGGTAGACTAGTTTTGTTTACAGTCTCTTGATGTTACTGTGATGGAGTATTATTTTTGTTTTAATACTGTATTGAGAGGTGGAATTTTATAAATGTCCCTTTTTAAAAATAAGAATTGTTTATATATACAGTACCGTAAATACTTTAAAGGAATGAAGAAATTACTCCAATAACAATACATACACAGTGCCCGAGAGCATGGAATTTGTTTTGATTTTGTCAATAAAATATCTCCATGTAGCACACTGTAAATGATATGCAGCTGAGGAGACCCTTTTCATTTCATATCTTACATCCAACACACAAACAAAGGTCGGGTGGGGGGAGAGGAACAAAGTCTCAAAAGGCTGGGTGGAAAAAGCCCACTTCCAGTTAAATCCCTATTCAATGCTTTGAAAGGACAGAACTCCAAGAAATCCATAAAAGGATTTTATTTTAAAACTGAGATTTTAGGAAACGGTATTCCTGATCTTCTGTACATTTCTAGCATCACTTCCGTATATTTTAAAACCAAAATCCTCTTAGCATGCAAAGTAAATAGATTATGATATACTGAAGGATTAAGGATCACTGTCTGGTGTCAGATTAATCCCTCATATAGACCATCACTTGTACTGACAGAAATATGGCTGCAGTTCAGCAAAACAGCTCTATGGCTAAGCAACCCATTTCAGCATCCTTAGGCTGAACAAGTAAAATGTTTCTTTGATCTCTTGTTGGACTACATCTACGTCAGAAAGTGCATTTACATGGAATATCTTATAAACCATATGCTCTCCTCAAATAATTGTAAAAAAGCATATAAATCATTTTGTTTTATACACAACTTCCCAGAGTGGAATCTCATATTGTTAATGACGTCTCTCTCTCATAGCCCTTGCGTTACTAATGTACCCCCCCCCCGGAGTGTTGAGAATCTTATGTATTTTATTACTTTTTGTCTGCTGAGGACATAAGCTTTTCAGCATGGATTTAATGCATTCATCTGACTCTTACTGATAAGTTTCTATCCTTTATTTTCCCCTTCTTTTACTAAACCCATCCTCCACAGGGTGTGTGTAGTACAATTTTTAAAGGGTTTTTTCTTCAGCGGCAACCTTAAAAAAACCCATCTTTAACACAGACTTGACAAGGGCTCTGTTAATCGGTTTCCATCTTTTTATGTGGACTTTAATGATAAACCTGCTTCAAGTTATTTTTCATCTTAAATTGGGAAACCAAGACTAAGTTTATATTATATTATATACCTGTTCAGAATACACAGGGATGAACATAGGGGCAAATCCATTCTTAGTACAGTATACAGGTACAAATCTACAGTCATGGCAATACAGCATAAGGATCGTTTCTCAGTCCCTTTTAACTCTTGAAAAAGCTGAATACATATTTTATGGCAGTTTGGTTAAAATGATGGTGTGGATCGGACAATTGGGAACTTTTTCACCCCCGTCAAAACATGGTACTGGCTATAAAAGGCTGATCTTTTGCAGAAGTATCCTCAGTGATGGTGTTGTCCAGCAGAATGTTACTGGGCTATCTATTGCAGAGCCTTAAGTGGAAATTAAAATCTGCATACAATGGAAGGAGGGGTAGAAAATTCTGTGCTAGAGATGTTGTTTAATTGCTGCTCCTGCCACTGGCTGGATTACATCCATGCTCACATTAGGGGAGGACAGAGAGAGGCACATGAGGGGGCTGACAGTCTGCTTGAGTCGTCTGCCTCTCCAGGAGTTCTTTGCCTGCTGCATGCCATCCCTGCGGCGGCCCCATCACCATGCCTGGCCTTGCACAATGACTTTAGCTTTGGAGTTGGAGAGAAGGTGCAGCTGGTCACCCTCTGTGCTGCACAAAGATGAGAAATTGAAGCTCTCTTTTCCATTCAGCATGGGTCTTTCACTCACCTTCATAATTCCTGCTGATTTATACTGTCCATTGATGGGAGCTGGGAGATGAAATTCTCTAGGACTTCTATTCTCCATGTCTTTGGGACCCACATTGCTTTTATTTCTGCCTAGTCCTTAATTGCCTCATGGCGCAGTGGTTAAAACGCTGTACTGCAGCTAAAAACTGTGCTCACGACCTGGGGTTCAAATCCCAGGTAGCCGGCTCAAGGTTGACTCAGCCTTCTATCCTTCCGAGGTTGGTAAAATGAGTACCCAGCTTGCTGGGGGGGGCAATGCGTAGCCTGTATAATTAAATTGTAAACCGCCTGGAGAGTGCTTGTAACGCTATGGGGCGGTATATAAGTCCAATAAATAAATAAATATAAATAAATAATTGTCTGTCTGATTGTATGTAGAGTTACGTTTGCAGTTTATGGTTTTGTAAAATGGAGGGACCTATGCATAGATGGAAAGAGGGATGTGGTGGTGCTGTGGGATAAACCGCAGAAGCCTGTGCTGCAGGGTCAGAAGACCAGCAGTCATAAGATCGAATCCACATGTGACGCGACGGAGTGAGCTCCCGTCACTTGTCCCAGCTCCTGCAAACCTAGCAGTTCGAAAGCATGCAATTGCGAGTAGATAAATAGGTACCACCATGGTGGGAAGGTAAAACGGCGTTCCGTAGTCACGCTAGCCACGTGACAACGGAAACTGTCTTCGGACAAGCGCTGGCTCTGTGGCTTGAAAACAGGATGAGCACCGTCCCCTAGAGTCGGACACGACTGGACTGAAAATGTCAAGGGGAACCTTTACCTTTTATGCATAGATGGACCTTCTTAAAAGACAAGAAGAGGGTTTGTAGCCTTATAACAATGGTGAAGCCAGACTGTATTAAAGTCACACTCTCAGAAGATGGTTTGGGGCAGGAGTCCTAGATTCATACCTGATGTTCACTCATCAACATCTCCTTCTGTTTTGTGAACAGTCTGGTTTGTGTAATTACATGATTGTGTCTCTAAACACTTTGCAATATTTTTTAGACTCTATTGTAAGAAAATTGCAAACAATTTTACTAGACCTCTTCTCCCCTGCAGGGCATGAAAAAGATGGCCTGTGTAAGCAGAGGAACAGTAAGAGAAAAGTTTTTTAAGATCTTGTAAGTGAAAGTACTCATTTAGTGGCTTGCTTTCATAGGAAGCTATGGAAATAAAAAATATCTGGTAAAAAGTATAAAATCATGCTGAACAGAATTAAAGCATTCCCAAGGATTAGAACTAGGATCAGGCTAAACATAACAGAAGTATGTTATGGCCTCTTTAAGGTATGATTCATGAAACAGAATTGGGTAAATCAACTATGCTTGTAAGATGTGCTTTATTCAAGGCCCTGAGAAATGGACAGAAGAATAGAACAACTGGTGCAAAAACTTCAAAAACGATTAGAAAAACATGTATTTAATGTTGATAAACAAGTTAGGGTTGTTCAAAGTTGAGCAACTTTATATCTCATTGATTTAAATACGTGCTTAACATTCTCATACAGAAATGAGTGACACTAAGAATATTTAACAGTTATTGTTGAAATATTTGAATAAGATTTCAGAATTGACTTATAGCTGAAATATACTTCTCTATCTCACCAGATGGTGATAGGCTTCACTTTCTTTCATGGCCTAAGTATTAACTTTCTTAGCTTACACCAGACCAAAATGCACCACTTTAATAGAGCTGTTTCCTCTGATTTCCTGCAGAAAGAGAAGATAGACACATTATAGTGTGCAAATTCACATATTATAGATTATAGTCTGTATAAACATATTCAAGCAATCCAATGGGATTTCAGAATTCTTTAATTTGGGGAGGTTATTCTTTTTTTTTTGTTTCCATGTTGTTACTTTTTAGGCATGTGCAGATTTGTGTTTTCACACTGTAACTCCTAGAGTTCTCCAAGAATTACCCCCCCCCAGCCAAATTCTGGGAGTAGCAGTCCAAGAGCACAAATCTGCACACTTCTACTCGGCACATGTATATTAGCTGGCAGACAGATGTGCAAGAGGGAAGAGACAACCTCTTGTTTGCATATGCATGCATGGGAGAGAGCAAGGGGAACAAGGCGAATGTTTACGGGTGCAAAGAGTGGGTGAATGTGGGTGCCCACCCAAGTCACCTTTCCTGGTGTTGGATTTGCATGCACGTGTAAAGATGGAAAACGGCAGTGGCAAGTCCTGCGGTATGAATTGCTGCAGGGATGCTGAGCAGAGGTATGTACATTTGTGTATTTGAACTACAGCTCAAAGAATGTTGACTGGGAAAAATGTGGAGAATCCAGGGAATCGCAGTCCAAAAACATGAATCTGCACATATGTATTTATTTTGTACCTGACTGTATTTATTAAAATAAAGCCACACTCTTAATCTATTTTCAAACAGATTTATCAATGGGCTCCTGCAGAAAATTCTGAGAAGGTACAGTATACTTTTCTTTTTTAAAAGGGGGCAGTATGAAAAAATGGACACTTTTAAATACAGTGGTGCTTCCACTTACAACCATAATCCGTTCCAGAAGATGGACGTAACTCGAAATAGTTGTAAGTCGAAGCACAATTTCCCATAAGAATGCACTGAAATGCAATTAATCTGTTCCAGTAGAGGAAAAAAAATCACACAGACAAAAAAATCACTGCAAGACTCATTGGAAACGTGAGTAATCCCTTCCAGCCGAAGGAGGGGAAAAAGAAAAGCAATCAATTGTGCAAGACCGATTAGAAATGCACAGAAAACAAATGGAACAGATCGGAAATGCACAGAGAACGAAGGGAACAGGTTGGAAATGCAAAGATAACTAAGAAAAAAGCAAGGGAAGCATGCAGGACCCATCGGAAATGGGGAATCCCCCCCAAAAGCAACCAGCTCCCCCAAGACCCATCGGAAATGGGGCGGGAGAAAGCCAAAAAACAAACAAACCTCCCAAGACCTATCGGAAATGGGGAACCCCCCCCAAAAGCAACCAAACCCCAAAGACCCCTCAGAAATGGGGGGGGAGAAGCCAAAAAACAAACAAACCCCCAAAGATCAGTCAGAAATGGAGGAACCCCCCCCCAAACAACCAAACCACCTACAGTTACAAATTTGAATTTCTCACCTTTTTCCCCTGCCTTTTTCTGTTCATAAGTGGAAGCTCCGGTTGCAAGTAGAAGCAATATTTTGCAGCCGGAGCTGGTTGTAACTCGAAATGGTCGTAAGTAGGGATGCGGCCCTGTAAGATAACCTCTTCTGAGAGAAAGAAAAGGCAACCCTCCAAAGTCTTTGAGACTTCCAATGGTTTTCAACAATACTAGCTTTGGTATCCTTCTGGATAGGTTTTGAGACACTTGTGTTTCTGCTTCTACTTGGTTGGTTGACCTTAGAGGGCAGTGCCTCCTTAGGAACTGTGTTTTTGGATCCCTGGTGCCCATGCTATTCCCTATGTCTGTCTTTAACATCTACACGGACATATTATCCACTTGTTGATAACACCAACCTCTCTCTTTTGCATTACATGTAGAAAAGGCATCAGGTGTTCTCATGGACTGGGTAAAGACTAGTAAATTATGAATCGGCCCAGGTAAGATGGGTGCATTCTTAGTGTGTGGCTTGTCTGACTACTTGATTCATTATCACCAACAGATCTAACATTATTACAAGAGACAGATGTACTGTGAATGGCTAGGATTTCCTTTTATGAGTTTTGTCTGCCAGACCAATTGTGAACTTACTTAGCCAGAAATTTTAGCGACTTTGGCATCTTCTAAAGCATCATTTTAGAGCTCTTAATGGATTATAAGGGTGGTGGCTTTAAAAAACATGTCTGAACTGATTTTATAGCTGATTTTATACGTATCACTGTCAGCATGTGTTCCATCTGAACTGATTTTATAGCTGATTTTATATCACTGTCAGCATGTGTTCCGTATGGTAATTGTATTTTAAAGAATGCTAAATGCCTGGTCAGTAAATGGAAAAACTATAGCCAGCTAGGACTTGATCCTGGACGAACATGCTGACCTGGCTTGCATTATAGAGATTTGGTTGGATGAGGCCGGGGGTGTTAATCTCACTCAGCTTTGTCTACCAGGGTTCTCCTTGCAGCAGCAGGCAGGGAGGTGAAGTTGCAATAGTTTATCATGACTATATCTCATCAGGTGCCACATCCCCCAGTTTTCTGGATTTGAATATGTATATCTGAAGGTGAGAGCACAGGACAGAATGAAGATTCTGTGGGTGTACCACCTACCCCACTGCTGGACAATCTTCCTTCCTGAGCTAGCTGAGCTGGTCTTGGGGATGATGTTGGAGTCTCTTAGGCTTGTTGTGCTGGAGGACTTCAACATCCATGCTGAGGCAACTTTCTTAGGAATGGCTCAGGACTTCATGTCCTCCATGACAACCATGGGGCTGTCCCAAATGGTATCTGGCTCCATCAGTGCTGCAGGACACACTTCAGATCTGGTTTTCTGCACTGGGGTAGATGTTAATGGTCTGAGTGTGGAGGAGCTCTCTGCAGTTCCATTGTCATGAACATATAAATACTCGTTGGGCTTTAGATACTGGAGTCCAAAGCCTCTGCTGGGGTGGGGCACCAATTAAGATGGTTTGCCCCAGGAGGCTTCTGGATCTAAATGGTTTCTGGACAGCAATTGGAGAGTTTCCTGTCACCTTGGCAGGCAATTTTGTTGAAGCTCTTGTTGACCTCAGGAATAGGGAAATGGCCCAGAGGCATTGACATGATCGCTCTTAAGCATCCCATCCCATGAAGTAGAGTCAACTGGCCCTGCTTTACCCGGGAGCTGGTGGTGGTGAAACGAGTGGGGTGGAGACTGGACTAATTATGGTGGACAACCTGGAGTGAACCTGACCAAACATGGGCTAAGATCCACTGGAAGGCCTACTCTGTGGCAATGCCGGCAGTGAAGAAGTGATTCTTTGCAGTCTTTGCATCTGCAGAGTCATCTGGCCGAGCTCTTTCAAATGTTCAAGGGCCTGTTACATGCTGGCTCACAGGAAAAGAAAGCAAATCACACCATAGTCTGCTGTGAAGACAAAGGACAAAGTAGATTCACTCTAACGTGGATAATGTAGTTGATTCAGGTCCTATGGATATAACTATGGCCCCTGCTTGTCCTCTGTTGATGGATGAGTTTCAGTTCATGCAACCTGAGGATGTGGACAATATGCTTGGAGAGCTGAAGGCTACCACCTGCCTTTTGGATCCTTGATCTTCCTGGCTTGTAAAAGCTGCCAGAAATGGACTGGCCAAGTAGGTAGGAGGAAGGATGAATGCCTCCCTGCAGCAGGGTAGGATCCTGGCATGCTTAAAGGAGACAGGAAGAAGACCATTGCTGAAAAATCCCTCCTTGAATCCCACAGTATTTGATAATTACCTGCCAGTCTATGATTTCCCAATCCTGAGCAAGGTATTGGAATGTGTGATGGCTTCACAGTTCCAGGGGCTCCTGGATGAGACAAATGATCAAAATCTGTTTCAATTTGGTTATGGTGCAGAGATTGCTTTGGTCGCCTTGGTGGATGACCTATACTGAAAACTGCACAGGTGGAGTGTGTCATTATTTCTGCTGGACCTCTCTGCCACTTTTGAAACCATTGACCACAGAATCTTTTTCTGGCCATCTCTCTGGGATGGGAAGGCCACTATTTCACAGTGTTTCTGGTATTTCCTGGATGGGGGAACTCAGTTGGGGGTACTGGGGGATTCCCGTTCAACACCCTGGCTGTTGGCCTGTGGTGTTCCCTTAGGGTTATGTTTTGTCCCTTACGCTAGTTACATCTACATGAAACTGCTGGGAGAGGTTGGGAGTTTGTGGATGACATACTACTCTTATCTCTTTTTCATCTAAATCTGAGAGAGCTGTTTTGGTTCTAGATCAGTATCTGGTGTCATTAATGGACTGAATGAGGGTGAATAAACTGAAACTTAATCCAGGCAAGACAGAGATCCTCTTGATCAGTGAAGGGCAAATCAGCCAAGAGGGATTCAGCCTGTGCTTGGGTGTGCTCCTGGATTTGTTCCTGAGCTTGGATGCCCATGTTTTGGTGGTGGCCAGGAATGCATCTGCAGAGTTAAAACCCGCATGCCAGCTGCACCTGTTCCTGGAGAGGTCTGATCTGCACAAGGTGAAACATGCTTTAGTTAAATCTGTTTGGATTACTGGAGTACAATCTATGTGGGGCTACTTTGGAAAGTGTTTGGAAACTTCCGTGTCTAAAATGCTACATTCAGACTGTTAACTGACGCTGGTTACTGAGAACATATACAGTGGTACCTCGACTTACAAATGTCTCCACTTGCCAACATAACAAATGGCTCCGTTTGCAAAAAGTTGCTTCGACTTGCGAACGGAGCCTCGACTTATGAATGGAAAAAAAAACCCTGAAAAAAAAACCTTTCTTGTTTTTTTTTTTTACCTAAGTTCATCTTAGGTCAGAAGAAGAAAAAGTATAACAAAAATTCTCCCCCTAGTGGTAGAGTACAGATTAACTGGCTTTGCATTAGTTCCTATGGGAACTAATGCCTCTACCTACCAACAGCACCTTGACATATGAATGAAAAACAGCAGGTACGGATTAAATGGTTTTCAATGCATTCCTATGGAAAAGTTTGCCTCGACTTACGAACTTTTTGATGTACGAACACAGTTTCAATACGGATTAACTTCATAAGTCAAGGTAACTGTAACACCCCTGATAA